GTTCTCCCATATAAACTATCACGTAATTCACAATAAAACATTTAAAAAAGAAACCAAGGTCACCATGGTGAAGTAACTTTTCCAAGACCCATAGCTGAGTCAGTCTCTGAAACCATATTCTTTGTGACAAACCACTTCTTTCATGAGACAGGAATCCTTCTTCTTACGTTATGTTCAGTAACAAGCCATTTTTTAGACATTCTTTTATAATAAAGTCAATCATCACATTTCATACTTAAGAAAAATAAGGGAAAGATTTATGACTTTAACTCACCGACTTGTGTCTGTATATCGGGGTCTAGAGGTCCGAGGCTTAGCTAAAGATGTCAGGTCTCCAAAGGGATTGTCAATATCATCAGCATTTGTAGATTCCACATAACCACTTTGGGGTGAAAAGAGAAAGAGAAGGTGCATGTTTGCGTATAAGAAAAATAGATGAACAGTGTTCTAACTTTCATTGTTTACAAATGTTTGCAAAGCTACTTTGCAAAAATAGATCAAACACAAAATATATATAAAGGCACAGTGATTTTTCTCTTTTTTGAGTAAGAATTGCCAGGATCTTATCATCTGAAGTTTGGATCGAAGGGAACATAACCACTAAGCTTAGAAACAGGCTGTCTGGGCAGTCCAGATGTCCATTCCAGGGAGATGACGGGAAGCCTCGGGCAAGCAGAGGTGTTGGCTAGAGCTAATAAAGATGATGGAAGGCTGGACAAGGGCTGTGAGCCTGGGCAACAAACTTGTTAGTGTCTTCAGAGGAGGTCCTGGAGATTGAGCCTATGTTAGAGAGAGGGCATCCTAGAGCTACTTCTGGGAACATTCATAGAAATACTCATCAACTACTGTATAAAAGAGAATGGGTCAGGGGATTACAAGTCTAGACTCCTCTGTTTTTCCTTCTAGGATCTGAAGAAGAGTGGAAGTCCCAAAATGAAGAATTTTGTTTTGTTTTGTTTTTTATGGACAGCCTAATTTAAAGCTAGAAAAATAAGATGATGCATTCTCCTGATTTCTGTGTTAGTGAGGACATCATACTCTGTATCAAGAATAAGAGTATTTCTGATTGACCACATTCACTAGAGGTAGCATCTAAGCTGTTTCTCTCATAAAATAGCCAATTTAGGAAACCTGAAAAATATCATTCTTCCCTCCTTTCTTTTTTTTTTTTTTCAATAAAAAATTTTAACAAACCTTTGATGAAATTATTGATGTTATATAGGTACTATGGTAGGAAAATTTTAGAAATCTACAGAAATATACATTGTTTTAAACAGTGAAATATCACATAAGTGAATAGAAAGGAACTACAATTTAGATGTAAATGTATTGTTTTAAAAATTAAGAAACATTACTTACGTATAGAGAGGGATATATTTACTTCTAGAACTTGGACTTACACTTAGAAAAAGAAAATACAGACAAGTGGGTTATTGATATTATCTTTATGACCATCAAAGAATCATAATATTTTTTAAAAGTCTATATAATTAAAAGCAAAGTATATGTTTCATAAAATCAGTCTTAAACTCTTTGGAATTTTAAAGAAAAATTATTTAAAGATGTTTGTTTTTAAGTGATGAAGATCACAAGCAGAATACCCATCCATTGCCACTGAGTTGATTCCAACTCATAAGGACCTACTAGGACACAGCAGTACTGCTCCGCATGGTTTCTGAGTCTGCAGATCTTTATGGGAGCAGAAAGCCTCAGCTTTCTCTGACACAACTGCATCTTTCTCCCATAAACCAACTGGTGGTTTTGAACTGCCAGCCTTGTTGATGATTAGCAGCCGGGCACTTCACCAACTGTCCCCTCAGGGAGCCTTCAAACAGAATAAGTTGACTCTAAAATACTATTGACAAACATGTCTCGTTGTTGACTTTTACTTACGATTAAGCTCCCATCAAAATCCTTTTTCTTGTATTTGTCTTTTGATGTAGTCCTTTTTAATAATTAGAAATGCAATATTTCGCAATATTGAACCTCTCATTTTCTTACACACAGGATTTTAGCAAAATAAAAATTCTGTGTCATTTTCTTAGACACAGAATTGTAGCAAATTAAAATTTAATTTAACAAATTAAGATGGATGGTCAAAACAGCATAGGCAGACCTACTGTTACTACAAGAACAAGCAACTTGCTTGCCCAGGAAACAACAAGGCAAGTGGTAGGGTGCCCTCAGTGCAAACCCCCTTCTAAGACTAAGACTCAATGGGAATACACACTGTGATTGGTGACCATGCTCATCACCAATAAGGGGAAGTGAGGGAAAAACAGCAATGAAGTGGTGAGCTAAGCCTTACAATGTTCAATAGACTCTTGTGAACCCGGGTGAAGACCTGGTTGGCCAGCAGTATGGCAAGACCTGGGGACTCTTGAGCCCAGAGTCAGTGACATGGCCACAGAGGACTAGAGTGGAGAGTGAAGCATCCAGCTGATAAAAAGAGAGGGCCTATGCATAAGAACATCCACACTTGCAGATAATATCCACTTATCCTGGCTTCAGTGACTGGATGATCAGAGCTCAACCAGAGGTAAAAAGAAGAGGAAAAA